TTGCAGGATAACAAGGCGGCGGAGATTGGTTTTATAGGTCGAAGCCCAAACGAAATTGCAGTAGTAAAGATAAGGATAAATTAAGGAATAGTAGAGCATACGTAAAGACGATTTAGGAAGAAAGAAGCTGCATCTAGATATTATACCGATTGACTTCGCAACTTTACTTGCAACGTGTGATATTTCCGACTTCCAATTTAGGTTTTCATCCAAAATTCGCCTGGAAAATTTGTCTCCTTTACTTCAACAATATTTTGATTATCTATACTTATTTGAATATTACAAATTGAACGTTTTTGTCTTGGTTTAAAGACCATAAATTTAGTCTTTTTGAGATTTAGAGAGAGCTTGTTTGCTTTAAACCAGATTGACAGTTTGTCCATCTCCAAGTTTAACATATCTGAGAGATAGTTCAGATCTTTATGTGACATGAATACATTGGTACCATCAGCGAACAATATCAGTTTTAATAGATTAGAAGCATTGTTGATGTCGTTAATGTACAGTAAGAAAAATAGAGGTCCGAGGATAGAACCCTGAGGGACCCCACAAGAGGCTTCATTTCTTAACGAACGGTGGCCATTATATTAAACATATTGCTTTCTGTTTGAAAAGTAACTTCTTATCCAGTCCAGCGCTAAGCCACGAATACCGTAATGTTCGAGTTTATCAAAAAGGATGATATGATTTACAGTGTCAAAGGCTTTTGAGAGATCAAGAAAAATACCTGCGGAAAATTCACCTCGGTCAAAGGCCGTGGAGATCTTATCATGCAAGTCGATAAGGGCGAGTGCAGTGGAATGATTTTTCCTGAAGCCGTATTGGTTACTACAGAGGATGTTGAAATTCATCAGATATTACATTAAACGATTGTAGATAACTCTTTCAAAGAATTTTGAAAAGCTGGGAAGCACCGAGATAGGTCGGTAGTCGGTGAAAAGCGACTGATCATCAGATTTAAAAATAGGTATCACGCGAGCGATTTTCATTTCATCGGGAACAATACCATGCTGGATTGACAAGTTTATGATATGGGTGAGTGGTTCAGAAACAAGTAGAATGGACTCCTTAATGACTGTCATTGGAATCTGGTCGTAGCCAGCTGCTTTGCCAGGAAGAAAAGTTTTCACAATCTCAGCGATCTCATCTTGAGTTGTAGGGTTGAAGAATACTGACTGTGTAAAGGAACCATTAAGAAAACTACGGTGTGAAGCTGACCCCTTGCTAAATTAGGACCGATGCTTGAAAAATAACTACAAAACTTGTTGGCAATTTCGACAGGATCAGTAATTTCACGATCATCAGCTTTAAATGTTGAGCATTTATTGGAATTTCTTTTGCTTCTGTTTAGATTTTCATTTAAAACTTTCCATGTAGCACGAGTATTAGATTGAACGTTATTCAATTTCTTCTCGTAGTATAGACGTTTTGCTGTCCGCAGAGAATGTTTTAATTTGTTTTTATAACTTTTGTAAATTGATTGACGATCCATTGTTGGATTTCGCAGATATTTTTTATAAAGCCTATTTTTCTTCTTAATACACTTAATGAGCGCATTGGATAGCCACGGCTTATTTAAACGGGACCGTTTTCTAGTTAATTTTTTTACAGGGAAGCACGCATTATAACTTTCAGAATACTTCTTTATAAAGTTATTATACGCGTTTTTGGGGTCATGATAACCATCAAGGGAGGACCAGGTAATTTCTTTTAGCGTTTCGAGAAAACTCGCTAAGTGTTCTTTATTATTGTCTCGAATGACCACTGGGTCATGAGCGTGGCTGTTGGAAGAGTCATTATTTGAATGAATCGAAAAAACAGGTAAGTGATCAGAGATATTGGTAATCAATAAACCACTTCTCGAGTGATCAAAAAATGTGTTTGCGAAAATGTTATCTAACAATGTTGCGGTGTGAGAAGTTATTCGGGTGGGACGTGTTATCATGGGAAAAAACATATACGAGTGCAAGCCATCAAGGAATTCGCCAGTGTTTTGGTGATGTTGAAAGTTAATTAAATTCAAATTGAAATCACCCATAATAAAACATATTTTGTTCTCTCTAGAGATTTTCGCTAACAGATCATTGTGTTTTGACACAAAGTCACCAACTCTCTGATTACGTGGCCTGTAAATAACACCATCGATAATACTTTTCCCATGGGATCTTGATATTTCAATAAACAAAGATTCTGCAACATCAATATCGTCAAAACTCAAGTCAGCGCGAATTTTAAAATCGAGATTGTCAGAAATATATAATCCAACACCACCACCAGTTCTATATGGGCGATGTTTGTAGATAAAACTGAAACCATCTAAGTCTACTGAATGGGAATAATCAGTAGTAGGGCTTCAGCAAAGATAAGCCTTGCGATGGATTAGGTGGATTAGGTGCCTAGTCAATGACGTCACCCATTGTTATAACCTACATACTAATTTGGATTAGGTTTACTAATGAGCGTCACTCTACTACAATAGGAACAATAGCCTTGCCTAGACGTGCCCGGGCTCTTTTAACCCTGATTGGCTCATGTGGAATCT